ATCCCAACTATGCAGATGATACACAGGTACACATTATAATGTAACCAGGGTATTATAAACCCATTCCAGTGCTGCGTAAAAGTGTAGAAGAAAACAAAGCACGGATGTGCCATCATTTTCTTCAGCTGAATTAAAACAAAATGGAAGTAGTCATTTTTGAACCAATGTCAGAGCGTTTAGCACTGAGCTTCAGATAATCCTGCTAAATGGGTGTAGAATGATGGACTCAGACCTGAAACTTCAGAGGCTCATAAAGACAGAAAAAAGTTGGCCTTTTATCACCTAAAGAACATCTTCACGTTTAAAGGACTAATGTCTCAGATCTTTGAAAAATAATATCTGAGACTGAAAGGGAGGTGAAAGGGGAGAGGGAATAAGAATGAAGGGAGAGAGAAAGGAGAGGAGAGAAAAGATAAAAAAGAGGAAAAAAACAAGACAGCAAGATAAACAATGCAGAACATATACAGTACCTCCTAGAAGTCTGCTTTCACACCCACATGATACGAAAGGGAAAGAAAACAGAGAACATAACAACAAGAGAACCAAGTAAACATCAAAGTAGCTTCAAGAGCAGTGAGTATCCCTTAGCTATCCAGTTAGTATATGTGTATGGAAAGCGAAACCTACAGTGATTACAAAACATAATTCAGGGTTTTATATATCTGTAGCTGCAGCGTAGTATTTAGTATTGTGTATCCATGAGCAGCTGGAACCAAGCTCCTGTGATTTGTATGCATGGGTATGCTCACGTATGAAGGATTTACAAAGCTACTTTACAAAGAAAATATGCTCAATAGCAGGTGTGGGCGGCCCCAGACTCACCCTATAGAGTTCATCTTTACCAGATTACTGAAACGTATGTGCGTAGGTCTGCCTAAAAAGCTCCTCAAGCAGCTGCAGCTGATACAGAACACTACTGCTTGTGTCCTCACTAAGACTTAGAAAGTGGAGAACATCAGCTCAGTTTTAAAGTCCTTCCACCTTCTCTCCGTACCTCAGAATAGAATATGAAATACGTCTGTTAGTCTTTAAATCACTGAATGGCTGCATTAGGGATGAAACAGTTAAACAGATCGATTATCGATCAACAATCAATAAATTTAATAATTGACTACCTATTTAGTAATCGATTGATCATTAACTGATAATATGAATAAACTCAAACACATGCCATTAGCTGAAAAATCGACTCAGATGAATAATTAGAACAAAAATATAGAAATATTTTCCATTTAAGATTAAAAATTAAATAAATCTGTGAATAGGTTCTATCAGGAACTTCTTAAGTGGTGTAGTTTTAGGTTTGCCTGGTTTCAATTCTGAATAAATATTCCTTTTAGGCACCTTTTGCTATCCAATGATTGATCAGTTATTAAAATATGGTTAGCTGCAGCCCTACCATGGGTACCCAGGACTCAACGTGTAGAAGAAGCGTTAAAAACATTTATTTTGGGTCCTTTGACCTTTTGACTTTTTCAGTCCACCATTTATTTCATTTTTTCAATCATTTTATCTTATTTTAATATAATCATCTTGATTTAACAATTCATTTTTATTCTCTTTCAGTTTTTGTGTTCTTTATGTCACCTCAATGCACTTTTCTTTTCCTTCTCTTGTACAGCGCCTTGAATTTTGATATTTTTATAAACTGGGTGGGTTTGATTATATAATTTTTGTTAAACTAAATAGCATAGATTATATTACATACATCTTGGTCATGTTTTTTTTTTTTTAAATGCAGCTGAAGGTTTCAGGTTCACACCTGACTCAGATTATAGTCCTCAACATAAAAAGGTCAGCCAGTGATGAAAGGGGAGGGCTGGAGGAAAAGGTGAGTTTATCACAACTGATTTTATCAACCCCCCCCCCCCTGGGCTCCGGCTCGGTAAAAGATTGTTACCTTGGCAGCAAGGTCGTCGGTTTGAATCCCATCGTGGGGGACTCTCTCTTCTGAGATTCTGCGATCTTACCTGGTTTCTGAAGGTGAACTTCTGTTCTACTTTCAAGTCTTTTGCTTCGTCTACTGGGAATGAGCTCCATCCATCATCCTAGTTTAGTCAAACCAGATTCCCTGTCTCTTCTATTTGAAGCTGCTTCTTTTTCTCACTAATGTTCTCCAACAAATGTCTTACCTAAGTAATGGTTTATTTGTTTTTTAACTTTTTGAACAACTTCTGAAGGAAGGCTGCTCTGCTTTTCATGTTTTACTAACACAATAGCCACATTTTTGTTTTATTTTAAATGTGCATCCTTTTTTTCTACTTCAAATTTATGTGCTGTTTAAAATATTGAAAGCCTGGAGGTTAAATGATAGTTTGAAAGATAGAGATTTTTAAAATAAACTCTTTGCTAAACAAAGGTCATATAAAAGTCTGTGGATTGGATATCTGGATTATAGCTGAATGATTTCTGTCGCTCTAGTCCAGAATCGCTTCATGTGTTCATTCTGTTCTCTGAAGTTGAATTCTCCAGGTTTCCTGTCAGAAACACGACAAAAACGTCCGAGAAAGAAGTTGGAGCTAGACGATGGGGCTGAAACAAATAATCCCAATCACTGTGATTAAACCTGTTTTAAAAAAATCATTAACTAATTAATCATTGAAATGATAATTGAGTATAACAAATGTAAAACATACTTAGAGAGATTATTAAAGGTAAACTTTATTTAAAACATATACGTATTTGAGTTAAGATGATAAACCTGGCTTACGTGTCAATCTGCTGCTCCATTAATGTGGTTTCACCTTCACAAAAGTGATTAATCTGTTAGCACTGACCTGCGTTCGACGTTCAGGATGAGGGTGTTTTGTTGACAGCAAACAGACAGGACTGTTAAACATCAGTAAATATACGAGTATGTTTGTTTCACTTGGGAGATTAACTGTCAATTGATGGTTTATTAGATTAATTTTTTTTTCAATCCAGTTAATTGAAAATGTCCTCATAGGATATTTTTCCAGTTCTTGTAATGTTACCGTTATCTGCCAGAGGGCACTGATGTTTATCCTTAGGAAGAGACTTACGGGTATTTGGAAGAGAAGTAATGCCAGAGCGGAGGCATTCTGTAGCGTCAATCAATCCACAACACGGTCCGGGATTGTTTACACTCTTTACACTGTATGTGGTTCTGTTTGTATATATTAATACTCGATAAACTAAAGTAGCTCCATTTAACCACCCGTTTGAAAATGACGCTAACACAAAGCTACTCTGGATTACTTTAGAAACACAGAGCTACATCAAAGTTAACGTCCACTTTTAAAATGAAGTGACAAATAGCCTGACAGTGTGTTGGAGCGACATACTCTGTCTGTTAATGATGGTTTTACATGAAGTATTTCACATGTTTTATTCCATGTTTTTCATTTAGTAACCTTATAGGTTCCTGTTTTGTTATAAATTATAAATATGTCTAGTTTAGTTATGCGTAAGAAAACTGTTTTCTTTATTCCGTCTTTATTTAATACAACTGGCACTATAAACTGTTTAAATATAATGATCTATTATCTTTTTTTCAGTTAGGCATATTATATAAAAGTATGGGCTGCTCAATGGCGCAGTGGGTAGCACTGCTGCCTTGCATCGAGACGGTTCGATTCCCGTCTTTCTGCATGGAGTTTGCATGTTCTCCCTGAGCATGTGTGGGTTCTCTCTGGTTACTCTAGCTTCCTCCCACAGTCCAAAAACATGACTTTTAGGTTAATTGGCTTAATTGGCTTCTCTAAATTCTCCTTAGGTGTTTGTCCTGTGTGTCTCAGTGTTGCCCTGCAGTTGACTGGCGACCTGTCCAGGGTTGACCCCGCCTCTCGCCCATTGACTGCTGGAGATAGGCACCAGCACCCCTTGCGACCCCACTTGGGATTAAGCGTGTTAGAGGATGGATGGATATAAAACTATATTTAGGGCTGTATGTTAATGGAAAGAGTCCTGTCCCGCCCCGCCCATGTGACTGATGTCTAAAGTGGTGATTTTGGTTTAGCCAGTTAACGGGTTAAAAAAAATGTCGGCCTATCAATTAATCATGAGTAGATAGATACAATCAATCAATTTTAGTTTAATTTATTATTCGATAACCTGCATGCCTCAGTTTTAACACATAAAAGAAATATATTTTATCAGCTTCACTGCAAAAAACATAAATCTCAAAAAGTTATTTTTTCTTAAAATAAGTGTGTTTTTCCTTGATTTGAGGAGGTAAGTAAGACACTTTGCCAATGGAACAAGACAATTTCCTTTTAAAATAAGAAAAAACAATTTTATCGTCTTATTTCAAGTAAATATTATCTAACTATCTTATTTTAAGAGTGAAAATACTCATTCCATTGGCAAATCATCTTATTTACCTGCTCAAATTGAGGCTAAATATACTTAATTTAAGCCATTTTTTACTTATTTCTGGATTGTTTTTGCAGTGTTGTATCAGCTAAAAGGTAGCTAGCACCAAACGGCTAAAAATGCCTCCCTCTTAACTCCTGCCACCTACTGGTGAGACACATGTATAGCATGTTTGGTTGGCCTCCCGCACAGATTCAGTCGTAGTAGTGAAAGGTAGGGGCCTTGGTTCATTTTTTAGCAGTATTCCTGTGGTCTGGGTGGGATCCCGCTGCAGGTTGCCAATATGCCGAACAGACGTAGGAACAAGGACGGCTGGGAAGAGATAAGGGCATCGTGTTTACTCTAATATGCCAGCGAGTCTGAGGGTAGATCAACAAAGGAGCCAGCAATCGCTCCAGGCAGATTAACTTGCAATAGACTCATCTTCATTCATCACCCTGCTTTTCTGCATGACGCACACAGACACATTTAAAACACACACACGCTGAAAAACAGCCTGATTCTTCTTGCCGTTCCACCTGATGTTTTCTGGTATAAGAAAAGTGATTTCAGCTCTCCTCCTTTCTAATCTTTATGGAGATATTAGTCAAATCGTGAGGGCATAAAAGGAAAAGTTTTAGAGACTGACTTTATCTTCTTTCTTTCTATTTCCTTTGTTTCTCTAGAGGGGCGTTTTCAGAGGTGGTCCTGGCCCAGGAGAAGCTGAGCGGCCGCATGTTCGCCGTCAAATGCATCCCCAAGAAGGCTCTGAAGGGGAAGGAGAGCAGCATCGAGAACGAGATAGCTGTGCTGAGGAGGTGAGCGCAGTCACACAACCACACGCACACGCAGCCCGGCTAATTCCTGGTTACCGGGGCAACTGTGCAGTGCATCTCCTCTGTTACTTCTACGCAAAATACCCCTCCATCCATCCATCCATCCGTCCCCCGCCCCCAGGTCACGATCCACACACACACATCGGGGCTGAGCAGCAGGATCATGTGAATAGAACTGTACATTTTTCAAGGAGCCTGGGAATAATTCATGCCTTACGCTCAGAAACAGGCGTTTAGTTGTGAACGGATGAATGTGAATGCCTAACCTCCAATTAGAGTTTCTTTTTACCATCCAGCTGTGAGAATAACGGTGCATCTGAACAAACCAGACCAATCCAGCTGCGGACTTCCCCCTTTACTTCCCCCCAGCGTTCTGCTGACTCTCCCAACCAATCCCACCGTGGATGGTGTCACATCAGCCGCTGTCTGTTGCTCACCCTGGACAGAAGATGCCTATGTTTAGCATCTGAAAGTGGCCCCAGAGGCCACGGCAATGCGACTGATGCAGGAAAGGAGAAAACAGCGGACAATAAAGCGACGTGGCACAAATCCCACGGCGATCCTGCGTGCCTGACTGCCGCATGCGTCTCTGTTGACACATCAAACCATTCAGAGCGGCTTATGTTTTGACACATATCATATGCTGCCAGCGTGTTGTGGCCCTCGGTTGGCGCGCTTTCACTCTGTCAGATACCAGTTAGTTTTTGTAGAATGTGTTCACCTTCAAAGACTGCAGTCTGTTTTTCACTTATAGCTACAAGCATCAAATATGAATTAAGAGAAATCACATGTTTAAGGATTCTAGTCTTGGAGAAGAAATGCCTTTTCCATCCTTCATTTCAAGTGAGAAGAGTCTATGAAAAATGGATCTTCCTGGTATCACTGGGATGTAATAAGAGAAAGAAATTAGTTCTTTAAATTTTATCGAGAATCTCACTGGCTGTCTCAAGTTTAGTCTGATAGCATGTCGGAGTGACATACCTCGTCTTTTTAATGACACTTTGAAATCTAAGCACACTGGAAATGAATGCCTGACATGTTTTATTCATCTTTTCTTTTTATTCAGTAACCTGATAGATTGCTGTTAAATTATATCTTCTAAATATGTCTTTTTTGATCATGTATAAGAGACTTTAATTTTATTCAGTCAGTATTTTATCCACCCATTTACATTAAACACAGCAACACGCTTGAAAATAACCCAGGTTAAACTTTTACTTATATAGACATGTACGGAAGAGGATTAGGGCCACTGGAAAAAAAAAAGTTTGCTGATTTTAAAATTCTATTTCAATTTAGTATGGGAAAAAAGTCAGAATTCTGACTTTAACTAACAAACATGTTAGCATCAAGCCATAGCCATGTCTGTTTTAGAGACTAGCTCTCTTGTTTTAATGACCTTCTGCTCCTCCATTAATGAGGGGACCCCTCGGGCACGTAAAAAGTTTCCTAATTCCGTCATTTTCCACCAATGTGTCACTGGCCCTCTCAAACAACTCACATCATTGTCAGTGAAGCTGAGTGCTCCATCTCTTCCTTCATGATGCCCATCTACATTAAAATCCAAAATTCTGAGATTAAAGACAGAATTCTGAGAAAAAAAGTCAGAATTCTGAGATTAAAGTCAGAATTCTGACTTTTTTCCCATACCATACTGATATGAAGTTAAAAAATCAGTTAACTTTTATTTTTTTCAGTGGCCCTAATCCTCTTCCGTAGACATGTTATACATCCTTAGAAAGATTAGATTCTCCACAATTCAACCGCCAAGTTAATTTTATGGATAGCATGATCACCAAAGCACAATTAATAAAGATATAGCAGCACGTTAAATCTGAATTTTTTTAATGAAGCTCTGGCTTCCTACCTTTGAAGCTTTCCTGAGGCCATATTATAAATGCGATCTTCAATTTTCATTTGTCCATAAGGGTCCACAGATGAAAAGTAATCCAGCATATTTTTATAATGAAGACGTTCCATGATGAGAAAATTGCTGCATGAAATCCGTTTTTGTCGTTACACAAGTCTCAGTTTTAACAATAAACATTCAGTAACTCAAATTAATGTTAACAATGGAAATCAGGTGAAGGTTGCGCCAATGCATGCATTTTATGACATTTAAAGGAATGTGTAGCAGGCTTGTTAAATGCATTAAAGGTATTTTGGAGGATTTATTTACCTGCCCTCTTCACTTAAAAAAAAATGCACATGCAAGGGCATGCACATGCCCATTTCTCCTCGTGCACCCCCTGTTTAAAATGTGCTGTTCTAATAGCTTCTGCAAGCTTACTGTGTCCAAATACCACGGGGACTATAGGGTGGACTTTAGCAAACTCAATTAACTGACTGTTCAGACAGATGATCACTGCTTTTAACTCCCTGTTGCACTCGTAACTCCTCCTCCACTAATCTTTTTTTTAAGATTCTAAGTCATTATTTTTGTTCAAATACATGTTTCAGCTTAGATATGTTTTTGAACAAACTTTATGGCCCCATTGTAGCCCAATACAGGAATCTTATCATGCATATCATGCTGCGTATCCCGCATGTGGAGGAACCGTTAAGATCCCTCTATGCTTGGTGTGCGGGATTACCTTCAATTCGATAAATCGATGCAAGCAGCTGTTTTTCTTAGAAAACTTTAAATCAATTTGACTGGATGATCTGATTTAATTGTAGAGTGTTGTGAATTGGCGCAATATAAAAAAACTGATTTGAATTGAATTGAGCACTGAATAAACTTTTTTAGTACGGCTGATTCTAAAGACAAAGACAGTTATTAGTGGTTCAATATGTTTCAAAGTCCAGCTGAAATGAGAAATAAAGGATATGTCGAGATGGAACCAACACATACAATATAATACATTCACTGGGAATTATTAAAGGGACGCACTCAAGTCTGGTGCAACAATCGAGAAGTATGATGCAATTAAAAGCCACTGGTTGACTAATTTGTCTTTACAGTGGAACATTAGGAGAAAATTGTGGTTGAGAGAGTGAGAGAGAAAGCGAGATACTGACATTTATTTGGATAAACGGATGTTATTACTTCAAACAGTTCAGAGCATCCATAGCAGTTCTATTGAGTTTAAGACTCACAAGCTTGGCTTATGAAAACCTAATGGATTTCCTCAGAACCTGAACAACTGATACTTTTTTATTATCCAGGAAGAAAAGATTGGAGTTTTAATAACATATCTTTGCAAGTAGTTTTTAGTATTAACTCATGGAAAATATGATCCCAAGGCAACAGATCTAAATAAATATAACCATAAAGATTAAAAGATAAATCATTTTCATTTTAATTTAATTCAATTGTAAAATTACTTAATTATTCTACATAAAGCATAACTCATTCTTTATTATACACAGCAAAAATTTCTATAATATCCAATTTTCTTGTTTTCAGAGAAAAGAAATCGGCCTATGAGATAAGGGAAAGACACTAATCCTTAAAGCCTAATTAATAGTTAATTAGGCTTTTAAATAATTTGTTTAAGTGATTGTATTCTTAAAAGAAGTAAAAAAAATATATCTTAATCCAAGCCATCTGTTGTATCTAGGACTGAAACAATTAATGGGATTAATCGGGATAAATCAATTAATCGTCAACTAATCGATTAATTGTTGATGGGAATGAGGAGACTCAAAACATGCTTTTAGCTGATAGAGCAACCCACCTTGAGCAGCAATTATACCAAATTAAAAAAAATATATGCAGACTTTTTGCATTTAAGATAAGAACAATTTCCAATTGTCAATATGCTCTATCCAGAACTCCTCAAGTGTAAAAATTTTAGTTTAGGCTGGTTTGTTTAGGTAAACAAATCTTCTTTAAGGAACCTTTGGCTATCTGATTACTAATCGAAAAAATAAATGACAGATTAATCGATTTACAAAATAATCGTTAGGTGCAGCCCTAATCTTATAATTTGGTAAATAAATCTAAAGATGAGCTCAAATATCTTTATCTGGGTTGCTTTTTCACTTTGTAGACAAGAAGATTTGGAAGTTGTTCCTGAAAATATTTTCTTGGCAATACAAAATCACATGATCAAAACTGTAAATTGTGAAACAATAACAAGATAATCTAAACTTATCCGAGTCCATCAAGTCGTTGAATTTTCTGTAATTTATAGGGTTGTTCTAGCAAATAAAAAAACTGTAAATTTAATTCAGAACGTGTTTCATGAGATTTGATCCTTTGTACGGAGTGAATTGTGTTCTATTTTTGTTCCAGGTTTTGTAAATGGAAATTGAAAACATACATTTAATAAATTAAAATAAAAAGAAAAATGTAATCAAGAAATGAAACTCTGAAAAAAGGTTTTGAGAATACATTTTATTTTTTCAAATAAAATATTTAGTTTTTTTTTTCTGAGTTTTAAAAATTGAAATTCTTTTTAAATTATTTTACGGATCACACTCTTCATGTCAAGCCTGATGCAAATGCTCCCTCTTGACTAGTAAAATGTTTTTTCTTTAAAAATTATTAACAGTAGTGATTGTATTTGGGCTTGAAGTGTAAAGAATGTGGTTTGGAAAATGCAATTTGAAAAGAATTTTAAAAAATCTCATTTAAAAAAAAGAAATTTAAAACGAAAAAATGTGACAATACACATTCTTTAAAATAAATAAAGTTTGAAAAAAAAAAAAAAGAAATAGAGTAATAGCTAAATTACTCTCAAAACTTTTTTTAGTTAAGATGTCGGGGACAGGTTGTGCAAAACGATGCATTTTCTTTTCCAAATTTCCATTTAAAAAACCTGTTATTTGTTTGCAAGAATAATGGCACAGACTTCACTCTATACTCTCCCCACCTTTCCCTCCTAGACCTGCTGCCTCTGGGGCCTGACTTTAGATAGCTGGAGGACAGTGGATGATTTTATATCAATATTTGGACAAAACCTAGAAAAATGACACATAGAACACAATCTAATTCATGTGGTAAAACATCTGTCTTTCACTGGAGTAACAGAGTATGGTTTTGATCAGTGCATTTCAACATAGCAGTCATTGAGAAGTCCTGGAGCAATAGAATTTGTTCTTAGGCTGTAGATTCAATGATATCTAACAGCTTCAATGATCCGTTGTAATGCGGGAAATAGAGCTGAGTGTTACTGGAATCAAACAAATGGTCCAGATTTGAAGATTCTCTTCCCCATTTAACAAATCCTGAGAAAAACTGAAATAATTGGAACAAAATGATTAAATATTCTCTGATTGTCGTCACCCCTTTTTTTTACCCTATTTTTCCAAAATAACATGTCTCACCGTGCTGCCACAGCTGTGACAGAAATCTGTGAATGAGAGCAGCTCGTAACAACGTGGAGAGGCTTTTTTTGTGAATGCAACCAGACTCCGGTCTACCATTACACCCAGGCTGCTGTCTGCCAGCCCATCATTATCCCAGACACGGCTTAAATCCATGCATTATCCCCTTTCAACACGGGCTCGTGTCGGTGTGGGCGTAAGTCACGTCGTAGCTCTGTGGCTCATCGCTCGCCTGCCGTCCAAGGGTTCATACGCTCTAAAAAAGTGTTAGACGCCTCACCTTAGAACCCGCAGTGCATGTGTGGGTTTGTGGGAATTACCTCTACTTACAATGCAGACGATGATTAAATCCGCATGCCCTCATGAGCTGAATCTGGATTTTATAAGCTTTAAGCTATGAGGGTAACACACAGTAACAGCTGGTGAAAGCACCCTCATCATTTCTCCATCACTTCTGGGATTAATCTGGGATTCAAAGTTTTTTCTTTCTAGCTGCAGCTAGTAAAATTAGTAAAGCATCTACAGGCTAGTAGCCGTTTTCTTAAAGAGTTGAATTCTGACTTTATATCCAACAGCCGTCTCTGTCACCAGCTGTCATTTTTATAAATGGACATAAAAAAATAAAAAAATTGTTACAGCAGCTGCAAACTGATTTTAAATGTTTGAGTTCAACTTATGGTGTAGATGATGTTCATTCAAGCTTCACTGTCAAATGTTAGCTTAACTCATACAAAGTACTGTGACCTGATATTCCCGATTTCCGGGGACAGTCGTCGTTTTGCACCACCTGTCCCCGACTAAGGCAGCGTTCACACTGCAGGCCTTGATGCTCAATTTCTGTGAAATCCGATTTTTTTGCGTTGCCGTTCACATTTCCAAATATATGCGCCTTGTATGTGATCTCCTGTGTAAACTGCAGTCGTACAACGCAAGTGTCCCGCATGCGCAGTAGACGACGTAATGACATCACAGGCCAGCGTGCTCTGTGTTTACAGAAGTAAAAAGCATCTAGCGATCTTTCCCAACCATAAAAACACAATCTTTTCAAGGTGGTTAAACATAAATACTGCTCTCCGCATCATCATCTGCCGTGGTTGTTGTTTTTCTTGCTGCTTCTTCATAGCAAGACACAGAATAGTGTCCTTTGTCGGGTATTAATGGCGTTCAGGTCGGATGAATGCGACCTGGCCATTGAGACACAGGTCGCATTTGAAAAGATCAGATTCGTATCGGATTCAGGACCACATAGCCATAGTCTGCCATGCTGGTACTTAGAGAATTATAAAGACAATGATAGAGGTGAAAGTTTTTTTTCACTAATACACAACCTTCACGACACATACTGTCACAGCATTTCTTATAAGGTGAATTTGCATAATATGGGACCTTTAAATTACTTAGTGATGAAAACAGAACCCCAGTTCTGCCCCGCCAGATGGCCGCCCACACTGAGTTTGGTTCTGCTGGAGGTTTCTTCTTGTTAAATTGAGTTTTTCCTCTCCTCTGTCACAACAAGCATGCTTAGTGTGACGGATTGCCTTTCAACTGGTTTTCCTTAGATGGAAAACTTTGAATCAATTTGACTGGGTGATCTGGTGAACTGTAAAGTCCCTTGAGATGACATGTGTTGTGAATTGGCACTATATAAATAAACTGAATTGAATTAAATTGAATTTAATTAACCAATTTTTAACTCTTTAAAAGAAGAGTTATTAGCATGAAGATGCTTTGCTAATGTTACTAGCTGCTGCTAGTAATTTTCTATGTTCTGCACCTGAATGGGGAGTGAGATGGGGGTCTTCTCTTGAAGTCGATCATCATCTTTGTTTTCCGATTAGTTCCTTCCACAGAGTGACAAAAGTTAACTCACTGTTTTCTTTTGGTTTGTCTTTGCTTTTGCAGGATCAAGCATGAAAACATCGTGGCTCTGGAGGACATCTATGAGAGTCCGGACCACCTCTACCTGATCATGCAGCTGTGAGTTTATCTACATCTTCACGTTGTGTGTTTCTAGTCGGCCCTTCAAACTGTTGATCTTTGATCGTGGGATTGAGCTGCTCTACCCTTCTGTGCCAGGTTAGAGCAGCTTATACAAGAGGAAGAGTTGGTTAGGAGGTTTGGCCCTGATGCTGGAAACAGTCTCTCCATTAAGGTGAAAGTGGCAGATGTGGATTACGCAAGAGTATCTCTGTTTATAAGGCATTGTCAGCGGATTATCTGTGCAGCCACATTTTTGGGTTCTTCTACCAAAAACAAAAAACAAAAAAAAAGAACGAGCTGCCCTCACTAACCACAATGAGTACTGCACTTTTAGGTCTAATCGCAGGGTTTCCTCTAGGAAATTCACGAATATCAAAAACAAGACAGTAATCAGAGGTGAATAAGTGATTATAGCAATGTGGAAATCATTATTTTCAGAGAAAAGAAGAGACTATATTAAAAACTCTACTGTATTTTTTGGACTATAAGTTGAACAATTTTTTTCATGGTTTCGCTGGCCATGCGACTTGTGCGACATATATGTGTTTTTTTTTCACCACAAGAGGGCGCTTTGTACCATTGCACGCAACAACATGTATTCTATTAATACCACTGAAAGATAAAACTTTACACCTTACCACAGTGGAATAACTTGATCCTATAGGCCTGTGGCTGCAGACCCTATTAGATGGTTTTGTTTTGCGTTTTTAAAATAGGCCTATTTCTTCTTTTAAGATAAACTTCATTGTTCAACTCCAGTGTTGTGGTCTTGATATCATATAGTGGTCTGAATTACGTTAATTGTTTTTTACTCGTATCGGACAGGCGCACTTTCTGCCTGTTTTTGTTCTGCGTTGTTTTTTTTCTTCTTCAGGAGAGGACCGTTTTTACTAACGTACCTGTCTTTGGAGATTATTTTATTTGATGGAATATTAATATATATAAATATATAAAAAGTTGCGACTTTTAGTCCGGTGCGACGTATATGGTTTTTTTTCCGTCTTCATAATGCATTTTTTGGCTGATGTGACTTAAACTCCAGAGGGACGTATAGTCCGAAAAATACGGTAGCTGTGTTCCTATGCCTTTGAGACAGTAACAGTAGAATGATGGCTGCTTCCACATGAAGTTGAAAAAACGCAAAAAAAAGACAGAAAAGTCATAACATTTGTTTCTAGTCGCTTGTTTTGGAAAAAAAGTGGGTCTGACGTCAGCTATAGCAACAGCGTCACTAAGGTGGCAACACTGGACACCTTCATATCTCCTGTTTTCCTTTGCTTTAAGCCAGGCATACACTATACGATTTTTTGCCCTTTTCAGGCAGATTCTCCAGTCGTGGGAGTTTTTTTTTCAATCAGGCCTAATTTCAGCCTCATGGTGCGCCGTTTTATTGTACAGGGCCTAACGAGGAGCAATCAGCCTCTCATGACCTACACCCGATCAGGAATCATATTGTCGGGAGAAAATCAAACGTGTTTGAAATTCAGTTGGTCGTCGTAGGATCGCATCAGAGCGTCGGGCCACACAGTGTGAGAAAATGCATCGTGACCTATGAACTTTTAAACCCTGTGGTTTAAAAGTTCATACAGTTTGAGCTGTAGCTGAGTGCAACGATTGAAAATATTGCAGTGTATGCCCGAATTTGGAGAGCAGCTCAGCCCACGATAACCATCAGCTAGCTTTATACACTAGACAGCTTAACAGAAGGGCTGTGTTAAGTTTTCAAAATAAAGTACATTTGAACATTTAATTAGATTTCATTTAATTTTAAACTCTGGTTATTATTAGAATAACTGTACAAATACACAGTCTGCTATATTATATCCTAGGGCTGAGCGATATGACCTCAAATCAATATATATATATATATATATATATATATATATATATATATATATATATATAATCTAAAGAAAGAAACAACTGAAATGCAGATAAACATGGTTTAATCATATTTTGCCTGACTGCTCTGAGCATGTCTGATGATGATAAAAAGGATCAAAATTGTGTCAAAAAAGTCATAAAACATTTTTTAAAGATGTATATTAGCATTCTTTAGTGAGTTAAGGATAGAAATAAGTAATTTCAGTACCATAATTACATTTTTTATGGAAACCCGGATGTATATCTTTTCACGCATGTGTAGGACTTATCGTGCTTCTGGGGTGGATTGGGTAGTGACAGGCACCACTTTAAAAAAAGTTGAGGAAGTTCGTTATCAGAACAGGTCTCAGCTGCCCTTTGTTATGGTGAGCGTGTTAATTGGTTAATTTGATTTGAATTGAGCTGATCACTCTGGTAAATGTTTGGTTTGTGCCAGGTTAATAAAAAAAGGGCTTTGAAGTCTTTTATTTTACTAAAGACGAGGACCGGATATGTAACGTAAACCAAGATAATCAATAAAAAGTAAGACAGACTATTGGCTGAAGCAGGCATTGGTAAATAGACTCAGATAAAATGAAACAGAATAATTGAAAATCCACTATAAGGCTTTTATCTGGTTCAGTGGTTCTCAAGGGATCAACAGGGGTTTGCCTAAAGATTTTTTAGAACTGATTGGTGACCTTTAGTTTATACCTTATTTAAATAGAGTTATAAGTTGTTTGGCTGTTTTTTTTACACTTGATTTTTGTTGTTTAAATAGTAATAAATATGTAAAAGTGGATGAAAGCATCACCGTCCCCGTTTCCTATTTTAATTTTCACGATATGCTTTTATTTTCATTTACAAGCTGGAAATGTCCCCAGATTAGATTGCAGGAATCTGGTCACCTTACTCTTCCTCCATTTGGTTTTCCCCCTCTCGGCATACATCGATCGCTCCTACGGTCTGAGAACAACAACAGGGAAAATAGAGAGCCAAATAGAGTCAGTGTTTATAAATTGGAAGCTTAGATACTGATTTCTGCTCGCTGAAGAAGATGGATAAATGTTCCTGCCTTGTTGAGTCCAGGAAGAAAGATTTTATCCACATTGGCTACAAGCAGCTCTTATCTAAACAAAACACCTCACATTGTCTTAAGCAATGCCATGATTTTCTAATGGCTTTCTTAGTTCATTTAAACTGAATTTAATGCATTATTATCATTATAGACTTCCTGGCAGGACGGTCTAATTGGCAACTTTTCAATTTCACTCCAAAGTGTGTTTTATTTTTGTGAAGGTGTCTCCCGTAATAAATGAATAAAAGGACATGAAGTTGATTTATGTAGATGACGTTTTACTTTTATGTTGCTTAGATAAAAGCCAACTTTCTTTTTTTTGCTTTTTGAACAAACCTCAAACCAGAAATTTTAAGACAAAGTTAATGACTTTATATATTCGTTTCAGCTGATATTTTTGGCTTGAAATACCTGCTGTGTTTTTTTTAAACATCAATTAAACAAGAGTCTGAGACAGTAATTAAGATGCAAATCAAGCTTTGTGCTGAGCTGTTACATCACCTGAAATCCTCCAAAGGTCCTTATTGTTGTTAAGCTGTTTAGCTTCAATGATAAAACCACTTAACCAAGTATTTCCGCTTCAAATGCGCATACTCCCACCTGTTCATGTGTCTGGTACCTCTTGGCTGGTGATGGATGTTGTCCAGTGGCTCCAATTATTGGCCAAGGTTGATGCTGGAGCAAGAAATATGGATGTAGCAGAAAGTAAAGCAGCTGTTTTTTTCCCATTTAAATCTTTCAGACATGTTTTGAAGTGCTATTTAGACTTTTTGCATATAAATTCAGAAGATTTTTGTCTCTAAATGGGGTTGGTTAAATATAAAACTCACTGAATAGCTTTAAAGATGCCGTTAACAACATTTTAAATAGGTGTTATGAAGTCATCCAGCTGTTGATGACAGCCTGGCTAAGAGATGGTGCAGAAAAGGCAGAAGGTTTTTGTTTTGTTTTTTTTTTAGCACCAATTTTGGTGTAACATTCAAATACTGCAAAGATCTGACTTTTAAAATAAAAGACGTGAAATCAAGAATAAACTGCTTAAATTGGCTACCTGACTCTTAATTTATTCTTAAATAGTTAATTATCTGTGTCTGTCCGTTCCATTCTGATTTTTATTTTGCCATCTTCCAAAATGTTACATTTTACACTGTAAAAAAAAGAGAGAGAGAGAGAGAGAAAGGTTGTCCAAACTCAAATTTAAAGGGAAATTACTTGCAAAATCTAATTTTGATGTAGCTATTTCAGCTTATTTCTTTTTGTAGGCAGACTCTTTAGCTTGATTTATGCTTGGTGCGTTTGGTCAAATGCTCATTTTTGGGGGCAGTTGCTCAGGTTGGAAACCAGGATCTTATACGTCACATGGAGCCGCCAACAGCCAAAACATTTAACAATGTTCCACATTCCATAGGTAGTAATGCCACACTGGTGTCATTTAAAGATATTCTGGATTATATTAGTGGATTTTAAATTGTTATTTATTTAAGTTTTTTGGGTATTTAGGACAATTTGCAGAAGATTTAGATTTGAAATATGAAAAAAAAAAAAAACATAACTCTATTATCTTATTTCAAATGCATATTATGCAATAATGTTGTTTCAAAGTTAAAAACTTTTACTCCATTAACAGATCATTTTATTTCCCTGTTCAGATTACAGACAAATACAGTTACTTTCAGAAAATTTTAGATATTTTTGAGGTCATTTTCTTGCAGTCCAAGATGTCTGTCAATAAAGACAGAAATGAAATTGAAAATGCAACTTCATCGACACTGCCCAGTTTAACTGGATAGAAAGTTATCATTTATGAATTGTGATCATTTGGCGTTATTTTTGCTTTTAAATTAAATGTTTAACAGATAAAAGGTAAGTTGTGTGCTGTAGTTGTCCTAAAAAAGTCAAATAGATGACATCAAGGAGTCCCTAACAGGAACCATTACAGCAAATCAATAGTTTATCTAGGAGATGCGCCTGGTAGAGCCCACTAACAACGATATACTATGAACTGGTTGGTAAAGGAGGTAAATATGCTTGTTTCATTATCTGGACGATTAGCTGG